TTGTTGCCCCCGCCCCCAGAAAGCGGCGCCAGCCACTCCTGAAAGTGGCTGCAGTGAGCGCAGCGATTGGCCGGTGCTAGCAGGGGGGGCACCGGCATTCCCGCCTGCTCCACCTGCCCATCTCTTAAGCGGCGAGCGCAACCATCAGGGGGTGCGCATGCACCCCCCTGCACCCCTTACTTGTCGCCATTGGCTATAACTATAACAAGATATGAGAATAGGAGACCCTACTAGAGGTGCACTGATACAGTGGTCTGATACCAGTTTGGTACCGATATAAAGAAAACTGGCTGTATTGGATATTAGGTCAATGGGGCTGAAAATTTGGCCAATAAATGCCTGTGCTGTGCGCAGAGCTGGCAACTTGGAGAGCTGCCTCCAGCTGGTAAGTCTGCTGTGGTGGAAGGGGAGCGGGGAGGGAAGGGGTGTCGGGGGACAGATCCACGCTCCCCATGGTGAGTGAGGGGGCAGGGGCAGGTGCTGCCCAGGTGGAATGGGGTGGGGGCTGGAGCCATGGCTTTGGGGGGCCTCCCACCGCTGCTTGCACCCTGGGAGGGCATGGGGCGGGGGGTGCCCCCTGGATCTGTGTGGGGTGGGGCAGGCTGCAGCTGGAGCTGCGCAGGTCTCTTCTCGGGGGGAGCTGGGCTCAGAGTGGGTGCTGGCAGCTCTGGGAGGATGCTGATCTGCCCTGCCATGCCCTTTCCTTCCCCCCACCTTCCACCACACAGACTTACCAGCTGGAGGCAGCTGTATCAGAAATTGGATCGGTATCAACTGATATGCCTCTCTAAATATCTGCTATTGGTATCAGCCCCAAAAACCTCTATCGGTACACCCCTAGACCCTACTCTTGTCCAACCTTAAGAGGCATTAGGAAACATATAACAGCTTATTGATCTTTTGGACTTTGTAGTCCATGATGCCTCTAGACAAGTTTTTCTATTTCCAATAAAACTGGCTGCAGTGAGTCTCTTATGATTTTCCAGAATTCAGTATCTATGGATCATATCTGAAGTCTATCAGCAAAGTGAAGAGAAAAGGAAGGAAGGAAAGAATAGTTGCGAATTTCAGATTCAAGTTTATTTTGGCTTCTGCTACTTCTCTGTAGCTCATGAAATGTGCTAGTACATCCTGTTTTCTCATGTGATCCAGTATATTTTAGATTTGTGTCAGGAATTGACTAAAATATATTTTAAAAGTAGGTGTATAGTATTGCATGTTTTAAAATATGTAGTCTTGTCAGTTTTGCTACAAATTTGGTTTGAAGAGATAAGCTTTCAAATCCTTGGTTGTGATTAGTAAGACTGGATATGTTTAAATTAGAGGAGATATGCTTACCATTGTGCTAGTGCATGTATTTCATATATCCTGTCTTTATTTATGCAAGCTTCTGTTCTGTCATCTATTTAGCTCTTCTGTGTCTGCCCTTCTTTTCAAAGACTGGGGGAAGGGTAGAGTGATACTCGAAAGCTTATCTATATCTTTCCCAACTGTACAATTGGCTCAATAAGATAATTGCCCTTACAAATCCTTGCCTCAAGCCATAAAAAGCCACTGTGATATGCGTGTTAGAACAAAGGGAAACTACCTGCAAGTTGCTGGCCTGATATTGGTTCATGCCCTTGTTAAAAAACCAATATGTTTTCTTTGTACTCTGAGAACAGCATTTGCTGCTTTGTCTGAAAAGGTAATTTACATTTGCGTTGCTAGAATTTTTTATGTAGTTATGCCACTCTTTATTATTTGTTAGGTTTAGAGACTTAACTTCCTAAATTAATGCTATAGTGGTTTTCATTCTTAAGTCTTGGCTCTTTTTTGGTAAGATCCATCAGGACTTGGATTGATGTTTTATTACTTGAGGGGTATGTATACATTTGTGCTTTTTCTCTAACTGGCAAAATACTTTGTCCTGCTTTCCTTTCATTAGTCAAATAAATCTGTGTGGAGTTGGTGCTGGTTGGTCCTTGCCTAAAATAAAAAAGTGTTTGGAAAAAAATGACTAATTTAGTTTTATCAGTTATTTTGTAGCAGTTAGCAGATGGTTCCATGACACATTTGTCTTATCTATCAGTTAAAGTTACAAACATTCCAAGATCAGTATAAACAGGTCATAGAGTGAACCTAAACTACATTTTTATTGTAAAACCAATGATGTGTTTCTCCCCTATTCTTTTCTTTAGGTTCCTGATTGTTACAGACCATTTGCTGAAATGCCCAGAGTTGGGAAAAGCCATGTATGCCAAACTGAGCAATCAAGAAAGGTAACCCCAAAAACCAATGTGGCTTTTAGTATTTAGCATTCCATATAGAGTATCCTGTTCACATGATTGAAAAACTGTGTGGTTTCGTAGTTGGCACAAAATCTCTAAATACATGTTTCTATGTCAGTAATGGTTTTAAATTGGTTGGTTAACATTACAGCTTAGCCGCAACTGGCAGTGATTTATGTAGGGTTGCAGAATCCAGCTTGGCGCCATTACTCGGTAAAGAAATACTTAATTTTTTTTTAAAGGCAGGATTTAATGCTTGTGCCTTGATTTCATAAGAGCACCGCACCCTACTGCATTTTACAGCTGCATTTGAAATATGTTCAGCTGTTCATATCACCAGTGTGATTACTAGCAATTAAAAGGAAGTTTAAATGTAACAGATCAACTGTAGTTGCAGATATGCTTCATAGTATTCAGCTGAAGCTGAAAATATATACTTTCATTTGCCCATGATTACTTTTCAAAATATTTTCCTTCTGTGTTAGAAAGCTTTAGCCTAGAAGGGGAAGACAAAAAATATGAGCATTTATGACATTTGTTTAATTATAGTAGAAAGTGTAAGATCTGTTTAAGGTTAGAATTGTTAGGTCTCAAGTATCTCTCAACATAAACACTTTTAGGGAGGAGGGATTGGGTTTCTCTTGTTCCTTTACATTTTTTTCATAATCAAAAAGGCGACTTATTTTCATGTCTCTGCACCAGCATCTCTCAACCCGTGGGCCATGACCCAAAAATGGGTTGCAAGAACATATCAAAGGGTTGTGAACAAATTTGGGGCTGGTACGAGCGGGAGGAGGTTGGCAGGGGGCACCATGTGCATGTGTGCACATAGCAGCCAGGCAGCAGTGGAGACCAGCTTCCTGGAGGTAAGTTGGGG